CGCCCCCTCGTGCAACCTCCCACACTTGCCACACCGACCGTGGCTCTGCTGACCCCTGGACCTGTGATCTGAAACCTTGGGCTTTTTGCCCACACTGCCTGTACCCGAAACCGCCTCCGGTTTCCTCTTCCTCTCCATCTCGAGATCAATCTCCCTCTCTCTGGCTCTAGCAATCATGTCGTCCAGTGTTTTGCAACTGGACCGGCTCACAAACATACGAATGTCACTCCGCAACATCTCGTGATAACGGGCCTTCTTCATCTCCTCATCGGCTGCATACTGTGGAACAAGAAGGGCCCTCTCCCTGAACTTGGCGGTGATCTCCGCCACTGTCTCGGTAGTCTGGGTAAGATCCTGGAACTCCCTGGCTAACTGTTGCACCTCAATGACCGGTGCAAACTCCGCTCTGAACCTGGTAGAGAAATCAGCCCAGGTCATGGCATCCAATGCCGCATCATCCCCGATGGCATGTCCTACCTCCTCCCACCAGTCACGTGCCCTGTCCTTCAGGAGACAGGACGCCAATCTGACCTTGTCCCCCTCGGGACATCTGCTAGTGCGGAATGCGTTGGCCACATCCGCCAACCACCTGGTACTCGCTATGGGGTCCCGTGCCCCGTGATAGTCAGGAGCCCCGCATGCCCTGAACTCCCTGAAAGTGAGTGTGCGCGACCCCATCACGGCCGCCATCTCAGTACGGAAAGTACTCAGTCTCTCATCCATCATCTCCAAAATGCCCTCCTTGATCGAACCGAAGATCACAGGAGTCTGCTCAAGTATGATGCGAGTAACCTCAGAAGAAAGGAACTCTCTAGTCTGCTCATCCATCTGTCCGACCTCCGGGTCTGACCCGATCCTGATCCCCTCCGGCATCTGAACTGCCGGCTGCTGGCCTCGGACGCAAAACTACCATTCTGAAACATATCACAACAACATCAGAACACTGAAATATTTCAAGGGATCATGATACGACTACTAGCTTCCTGGTCTTATCTTGGCCTTCCTTGATTCGAGTACGGATCCTCTGCTTCCAGTAGTATGGGCCCCTACTACCTTCCACATCTATCCGTACTTTCCTCAAGAACTGCCTCGATTCCCCAAGTCACTTCTACCGCTGCTATTCTCTGCTACTCTCATCCTAGGCTTGCCCTAGAGAAAACTCGAGCTCAATACGACTGGTCCTCAGCTGCTGTAGGTCTCCTCGCACTGCCAGTTAGCCATCACCTGAACACCATCACATGTGATGAGGATCGGATAATCCTTCAAGTAAAAGATCCGTCCCTACAACGGTTGGACTCAAACAAGAGCTGCGCAGTAGGGCCAGTTCCAGCACTCTGGGATTATTCAAACCTGATTACATGTGGTGTAACGTGTCCACCTAATGGCTAACTCCCATTACTCGGAACCCCACTAAGCACAAAGCAAGCAGCATTCGGATAAGGGAAACAGACTCACGCAAACTATTCTTATAACAAGAAACTGTACTAGCATAGGATGCTAAGCTCATACTATCAGGCATAACCTAAACAGGCTATCCTACTGCTGTCTACTCAATTCTAGCATGCAATATTCATAAAGCTGTAACACATAAGCAGGCACATAAGGCATTCTCCTAAATCCTTAGTCCTATACTAGCATGCTGTTCTACTAAAACTGAAATTGAACAAATAACTTGTATGGGTAATTTGGGAGTACTTACTTGAGCTCGGTTGACCGCATGCACACACCTCTATCTTGTTAAAAAAATTCTTTCTTTCTAAGTGTTTTCAAAATTCTTTTTGTAAAAACATTTTATTAAAAATCTTTTATTTCCCTTAGTTTGAGTTCAGATACACCCGAAAGTGTATCCGAATCCCTCAAACCAGGGCTCTGATACCAACTTGAAACGACCCAAAAATACGACCCAAAAATTTTTGTTTTTAATATAATCAAAACTATAATCAGAGTACCATATAAATAAACCATGCGTGATATGTCCCAAAATATAATAAAGTACTGTGCGGAAACTGTATCATACTACATCGAATCAACAACTAAATCAAATCCAGACTAAAGCTGAGGCGGTGGTGTGTGCGATGCCGTCACCCGAGCTCTTCCCTTTGCTTGCGGAAGTACCTGAAACCAAAACTGAAACTGTAAGCACGAAGCTTAGTGAGCTCCCCCAAATTACCACATACCATACAAAACATATAAACACATATTGGGCCTTGCCCACTGCATCGGGCCGAGGCCCGGAAACTGCATCGGACCGAAGTCCGGAACTGACTGGGACCTTGTCCCCTGCATCGGACCAAAGTCCGGAACTAACTGCATCGGACCAGAGTCCGGAACTACTGCATCGGACCGAAGTCCGGAACTGACTGCATCGGACCGGAAGTCCGGAACTGACTGGGACCGTGTCCCCTGCATCGGACCGAAGCCGGAACTGACTGAGCATAGCATAGCATATCATAACAAATACTGCATACTGCATCGGGCCGTAGCCCGGAACATAAAACACATAACACATAGCGCATAATTATGTCTGAACCACGAAGGCATCAAACATACTAACTACTACATCGGACCGAAGTCCGGAAACTACTACTAACTGGACGGGCCGGCATTGTGGCCTTAGACCCGTCCCTACTGGAAGGAAACTCACCTCGTAAGCTAGCGGATGAGTGTGTGGCTCGGAAAGCTAACGGCTGCTGCTCCTGAATCTCCTCGGCTACAAATCCATAAACACACTCAATCAATCACTAACACTACACTCAGGGTAAAATGACTCTTTTACCCTTGGTCAAAGTCAACTTACTCAGGGCTGACTCGCCGAGTCGGGATACCCAACTCGCGAGTCCTAGACTCTCCTCTCAACTCTTACACGCTGATACTCGTCGAGTGTGGCATCGACTCGACGAGTACCCTCTGGATCCAAGAACTCAGATGATCTTCATCCGACTCGCCGAGTCGGATGAACAGACTCGACGAGTTGTTCTTGATCCCCAAGAAGATTGCCTTGGACTCGCCGAGTTGTATGAACAAACTCGCCGAGTCCCTCCATCACTGAGTCTACTCTCAACTCGCTGAGTCCACTCCCTAACACACCTCGTCCACTCGACACTGAAGAAACTGAAGAACTCGGGACTCGCGACCTGACTCGTCGAGTCGTTCTTCCGACTCGCCGAGTCGCCGCCATGCAACAGATTTTTACTCGATTTCTCTTGAATCCAACACATGCAAATGATAGATCTAGGTCCAATAAGCTGTATTATCACGTAAAGTTTCCAACTTTACGTGCACAACCACATGAATAAGGGAAATAAGGCTAAAAGATGCACAACAAGAGTAGATCCATGGCTAATATGCAATGTAACTCCAAAAAGACAGTAGATCTGGGCTCTACAACACCCCAACACTCAGATCCAAAGGTATTTCGACTTATTAACACATTCATGCAAACATAAAGCTTGGAACAAACATCAAATAGCCCTTAAAAGAGCTCTAATGGAAGTTTAAGCATATAACCAGAAGGGGAACTCCGAAAATACCTCAATAAGCTCAGATTTGACCTTGGATCTTTGCACTACAACTTGTTTCCTTGCTTCTTCTTCTTCTCCTTCTTCACACCTTCACAAAATGGAACTAAATCACTTCTAAGCTCACAAATGGAAGGATTAGGGTTTCTCACAGAGCTCTCAGGGTGATAGTGGCGAGAATGAGGCTATAATGGGGTTTAAATAGTGGGCAAACCCGGGGATTTAGGGTTTCATCCAGACGGACGGACTCGCCGAGTCCAGGATATGGACTCGCCGAGTCGCCGGCTCCCGCGTGCACAAAATGCGCGACCCAACTCGGCGAGTCAGGCTAGAACTCGCCGAGTCCCTCTTGAAAACTTAGACAATTGACAATTTATTAACATACCGAGAACGGGTCGTTACATTTTTTTTATTCTTTCATTAATTTTCATACAAGTGTTTTTAAACCAAATATTTTATAAACTTTTTTATTCTTTCATATAATTTTCATACAAGTGTTTTTTGAACAAAATATTTTATAAATGTTTTAAAATTTTCTTACAAGTATTTAATTTGTTTTTTTTTTTTTTTAATTTTCATACAATTTTTTATACCTTTTATACATTTATTTCTAAAATTTCTTTTACAACATTTTTAACGTGTTTCACAGATTTTGTATGATAGTTTAATATTTTTTTATAACATTTTAAAATACTTTCATTAAATACTAATTGAAACATTGTGTTAAAAAAATTTAAAAGTTTATAAACTTAATTAAAATGTATTAAAAAGTTGGAATAATTTAAAACATTTACATTATATAATTTTTTTTGTTTTTTTATTTGCTAAGTAATATATATATATTTTTTAAAAGACATTTCATACTTATTGTTACATATTTAATTTATTTAATTTTCTTGTCAGACTTTAAAAATACTATATATGCTTAAAAACAAAAGAAAAAAATATAAAAGGCTATGTAAAATATTTCACAAGACAAAAACATATTTATTAGTTAAAAACTAAAGTTTAAAATTGGTCAATATTTAATTAATATTTAAGAAATTATGAATATTTAAAAACAAACGTTTGAAAAAAATACCACAAACAAATATGAAAAAAATAATCACTATTATCAGGATAATTAACTTTTCATTTTTTTCATATTTAGATAATTTTCTTTTTTTCTATAAATTTAACCATTTAATTTGTTAATTTGTTCAAAATTACTATTATCACTAAGCAAATGATATTTATAACATGTGAAAACATATAACAAATAAAATCGTCAAATATGTACAAAAATAAATTTTTTTTTATCTAAATATGAACAAAACTATAAAATGATTACCTATGCTAAAAACAAATGAACTATAATTGTAATTTTTTTTGATGTTTTGATTAAGCCGTTGGGAGCACACCTACTTGCGTGGTTAAAGATTTCGACCGTTGGTGAAGTGGTGCCCACCTCATGATTTCTGTGTGTGTGTTTTGTTTCCTTTTATGCTTCTCTTTTGTCCTAACTTAACGCTCCTCCTCGTGCCGTTGAGTGTGAATCATGGCGTCTTTGCGTTGACAGATTCTACTTATTTAACGTCACTGTTAACAATCCTCTTCTTCATTGTACCAATCAGAGAAGAGACAGAGAGAGGGAGAGAGAGAGAGAGGAAAGGGAGGGAGGAAACGCCATTAACGGGGCCTGTGTTCTTCAAGGTAACTTTGCTTAATTTTAGGGTTTCTTGATTCTGTTATAAATGCCCAGATCATATGACTTCGTTTAGATTTTATTCATGGATTTCGTTGGTAAATATATATAATGTAGTGAAATTTGAAGGTTAAGAAGAAATGGAGGGAAAGAGCAAGTTGTCAGCACACTGGTGGTGGTTTGACAGTCAGAGCAACACTACCCCAAGGAAATCTCCATGGCTACACTCCACTCTTGCAGGTACCGACATTATTATCCTTCTTCTACAATCTACACTCGTAATTAATTAATTAATCGTATATGGATTTGGTATGAATCATATGCTTTATAAATACTTCCTAAATGTACTACGATTTGATTTGATTGATAGAACTGGACGACAGGACAGAGGCAATGCTTAAACTGATCGAGGAAGATGCAGATTCGTTCGCAAAACGTGCAGAGATGTATTACAAGAAACGACCCGAGCTCATTAGCATCGTTGAGGATCTGTATAGAGCCCATCGATCGCTAGCTGAAAGATATGATCAGGTCAAGTTTGATAGTGGAAGCCGCCACTTGATCACTCCATGGACATCGTGTCCTTTACCTCTGTCCAAATTCCGAACTTCGCATTTGATGAAAGAATCAGAGAAATCATACGACAGCTACTCTGAGTCTTTTGACTTTGACCATGATTTTGATTCTGTTGAATCTGATATGTTTGATGACCCCCAACACGCGTCTTTTAATGATGAAACTGAAGAAGAGGAAAAGAGTAGTAGTTCAGATGAAGAAGGAATGAGGTTGAGGGAAGAGTTAGAGAGGCTGAGAGAAGAAAACAAGGTTCAGAAGGAAGAATTGGTTCAGAAAGATGAAGAGAAAAGGGAGGCGATCAGACAACTAAGTTTTTGTGTGGATTTGCTCAAACAAGAAAATCTAAATCTCAAAACAAGAATTGCTAAAGATTCTTTCAAGAAGCAAAACAGCAGCCCA